ATATATATATATATATATATATATATATATATATATATATATATATATATATATATATATATATATATATATATATATATATATATATATATTATTATTGAACCGTCACTTGTAACACCGTTGTAATATAGCTAATTAATATGCTAATAACTAATCCAAATAGGAATAACTAATCAGTATTCAATATATAGTTCACAAACACTATAACACGCGTTTATCTCGTTTTATTGAGTCTTAAACACTACATTCTGGCGACGAGGATACACAATTGGAGTTAGTAAACACGTTTAGTCAATCTACAACGTCAAAACATCGAATTTCAAAGCGCAAATTCGTATAAAAACAAGATTTTCGTGTGACCACGAGGAAGCCATTTCGCGCCATTTTCACAACAACAATATATTTCGATATATTTTTCGTATAAAGTCGTTCGCCGTTTTCTACATCTATCCATGGCAGCTACTAGTTTCTCCTTGCCGACATTCCCGCCATTCGATGTCCATGCCGATGGAAATACCGGTCATCGCTGGAAAAAATGGCTAGGCCGCTTTGAACGGTTGCTTGTGGCGAGGAATATTACCGACAAAAAACAACAACGTGCGATGCTATTACATTTCGCAGGACCGGCTGTTGACGAAATTTTTGACACCCTTTCAGACACTGGCGAAGCGAAAGACTACGACAAAGCGATAGAAGCACTCAATGCCTATTTTATTCCGCACGTAAACACGGCGGTTGAAGAATATAATTTCCGCCAAGCGAAGCAAAACCAAACCGAAACCCTAGATGCCTTTCATACACGTTTACGTCAGCTATCGCAAAATTGCTCGTTTACAGATGTCGATAAAGAGATAAAGAACCAAATAATCGTTGGTTGCTCATCACAGAAACTTCGAAGAAAGGCTCTACATGAAGACCCGACCTTAAAGAACCTTTTAGACGCGGGGAGAGCCGAAGAAACGAGTCAAATGCAAGCGCAATTCGTGGAGAAACAAGAGTCAAGTCAAAATATCAACGCCATTAAGACGGGCGCTCTCGAGAAACATAACCCCTCGCCTCGCGACATGAGAAAACCACAAAATCAACGTCACGGCTCAAATTATCAAAGAAATTTCAACAAACCCCACACATCAACTTGCCGCAACTGTGGTGGTATCTACCCCCATGCCCGAGATTGTCCAGCCAAAGGAAAAGAATGCCATTCCTGTAAAAAAACTGGCCATTTTGCAAAGGTATGCCGATCGACCCCTAAACACAAACCTCACGAACACCGGAACAGAGTCAACAACCTTTCTGAACAACCGAGCACTAGCCCTCATGATGTCGACCCTGATTACATTTTCACTTTGAAAAACAATTCGAACAGCAAAACCCAACCCCCCAAATGCCAAGTGTTGGTTAAAGAGCACCTTATTGATGTCATTATTGATTCTGGAGCTTCGGTAAACATCATCGACGAGTCCACATACAAGCAGCTCAACCAAAGTAACACCCTACCTCTCAAGCAGCCTGAGTCCAACATCTTCCCCTACGGTACAAGTGTCCAGATACCCATTCTTGGAATGGTCATGGCTACAATTCAGTTCCAGTCCACAACTTTGGATGCCAATTTCTATGTTGCCAAGGGAACCGGTGGAAATCTCTTAGGTTGCCAAACAGCCGAACAGTTAGGAATTTTAAAGATAACCATTAACACAGCAGTTAGCTCTTACAACGCTCGCATTGAAGATGAGTTCCCGAATTTGTTCGGTGGTATTGGGAAGATAAAGAACACCCAAGTCCAGTTACATATCGACACCGATGTTACACCCAAACAGCAAAAACATCGTCGCATTCCATTCCACATCCGAAAGGACGTTGAAAAGGAACTCCAGCGTTTAGAAGACCTTGATATCATTGAGCAAGTTGATGGTCCGACACCATGGGTCAGCCCAATCGTTGTGGTACCCAAGAAAACTGGAGAGATCCGATTATGTGTGGACATGCGTGAAGCGAATAAAGCAGTGCAAAGAGAAAAACACCCCATGCCAACTGTCGACGAGTTAATCACAGACCTCAATGGTGCCACAATGTTTAGCACCCTAGATCTTGCCTCAGGTTACCAGCAACTGGAGTCACACCCTGAATCCCGCCATATCACAACCTTTACCACTCACGTTGGACTTCGACGTTACAAGCGACTAATGTTCGGCATTAACGCAGCCTCGGAGATATTTCAGAATGCAATTGCAAACCTACTGGTTGGATTACCTGGTTGTAAGAATATTTCGGACGACATCATCGTCTATGGTCGAGATGACAAAGAACATGATGAGAACTTACGAGGCTTGTTAAACCGCTTACAAGACAACAACGCCAAATTAAATGGTGAGAAATGTTCCTTCCGTCAGCACCAAGTAGTATTCTTTGGGCACACATTCAGCGCAAGTGGAGTTCAGGCAGACCCAAAGAAGATCGACATCATCCGGAATATGCAACCTCCAAGAAATGTCAGCGAAGTCAAGTCCCTTCTCGGAATGACCCAGTACGTATCTCGGTTTATTCCCAACTATGCCTCCATCACAACACCCTTGCGTACCCTGACTCAACAGAACGCCAAATGGCAATGGCAAGCGGAACAAAAGAATGCTCTGAAAAAACTTCAACACGAGCTTACGAATGATCCTGTTATGGCTTACTTCGACCCTTCGAAACCAACCACCGTCATTGTGGATGCCAGCCCCTCGGGTTTAGGAACACTGCTTACTCAGGAAGGCAGAGTTATCAGTTATGCAAGTCGTGCACTTTCCAGTGTAGAATCCCGCTATTCACAAACTGAAGGCGAGATGTTAGCCGTTATATGGGCTATCGAATTCTACCATCTTTACCTCTATGGCGCTAAGTTTATTGTCATCACCGACCACAAGCCGCTACTCGGAATCTTCAAAAGTCAGAAACCGACTTCAGCGAGAATCGACCGCTGGAAACTAAGACACCAGTCCTTTGCAAGCTTTCTGAAGCAATCACACACAACCGATGGCTCGATCCTGAAGTGAAACCGTTTGTTAACGTAAAGGACGAACTGTCTGTCTGCAATGGATTAATCGTCAGAAACCACCGCCTGGTGCTACCTCATTCACTGCAGAGCCAAGCCATAGATCTTGCACACGTAGGCCACCAAGGCATAGTCAAAACAAAAATGCTACTTCGTGAAAAGGTCTGGTTCCCCTCCATAGATAAGATGGTGGAACAGAAAGTCAAGACGTGCCTGCCGTGCCAAGCAGCAACCACAGCTACCCATCGACATCCAGAACCCTTGATCATGACACCGCTGCCCGACGCACCATGGCAAGAGGTTGCTGTCGACTTTGTTGGTCCGTTCCCATCAGGCGAGCTGCTACTCGTTGTCATCGACGAATTTAGCCGATTCCCAGAAGTAGAAATTGTCACCACTACGAGCGCAAAAGCTGTCATCCGAAAGCTGGATAACACATTTTCCCACCAAGGTGTTCCTGTTGTTCTTAAAAGTGATAATGGTCCGCCATTTAACAGCTCGGAATTTGAACAATTTGCCAGTTACCTTGGTTTCGAACATCGCAAAGTCACTCCGTATTGGCCAAAGGCGAATGGAGAAGTGGAACGGTTTATGCGCACCATTGAAAACGCCACACGTAGAGCACACATCGAAAAGAAGAACTGGAAACAAGCCTTGTATCAATATCTCCGCCAGTACAGAGCCACACCGCGCAGCACGACGAATGTGTCACCACCCGAGGCCCTGAACAATCGAAAGTTGAAGATACCACTTCCGAGTATTCCAAAAGCTGAGCAACAAGAAACCCAAGATCCAATGCGAAAACGAGATCAAGAAAAGAAAGAAAAGATGAAGAAATACTCAGATCATCGACAACACTCGAGAACAACTGATCTGAAGATAGAAGACACAGTCCTGATCCGCCAACCAAAGAAGAACAAGCTTACCCCACCATTTAACCCCAAACCATTCACTGTTGAAGCTCGGAAAGGAACTATGGTTACCGTCAAACGTGGTTCGAAGAAGATAACACGCAACATATCCTTCTTCAAAAAGATTGATAATCGTGTAACGGATAGTTCAGATGACGAAGATGATGATGACGATTTTAATTGCAACCGAACTAACGAAGACCAACTCAATCAAGAACCTGTTCATTTACGAAGTTCCCAGCAAGAAAGAAGGCAACCAAATAGACTTGGATTTTGAACATTGAACTATCAATGACTATAGACACATATTGCATGTTAACAGTTGAAATTTGTTTCAGTTTAAATTCTTATTGTCGTTTCGGGCAGAGGAGACATTTTGAATAACGTATAACGTGAAGAACAGAGAAACTATACTAATGTGGGGAGGGATGTAATATAGCTAATTAATATGCTAATAACTAATCCAATAGGAATAACTAATCAGTATTCAATATATAGTTCACAAACACTATAAACGCGTTTATCTCGTTTTATTGAGTCTTAAACACTACACGTACGTCGCCCCATTTGGGCAGGTGATGATCCCAGACTTTCTGTGGGGTTGTTTCTCCAGTCGAAAAATGCTAACAATGGGTCTTGACCAGCAGCTTTGGCTTTGTCATCAGCATTTTGCAAGTCTTGACCGCATTCTCTGCTCTGCCATTAGATTGTGGGTAACGAGGGCTTGAAGTTAGATGCTTAAACTGCCAATCTCTTCCAAATGCTGAAAATTCTGTGGCAGAAAACTGAGGTCCGTTGTCTGTTATCACTGTATCTGGGATTCCATGTCGTGCAAACTGGACTTTGCAGGCTACTATGACTTTATCAGCAGTAGTTCTCGTAAGTTCTTGGACCTCGAAGAATCCACACCAGTGGTCTACGAGCAGAACAAAGTGTTGTTTTCCAAGCTCAAAAAGGTCCATACTGACCGTTTCCCAGGGACGGAATGGTATTGGGTATGGTTTTAATTCTTCACGACATTGTTCCGATTGATACGCCTGGCATGTTGGGCATTTAGAAATCAAATCTTTAACCTCTGCGTTCATGAGTGGCCAATATAATACCTCATGGGCTCTCCGAAGACATCCTTCTATGCCAATATGAGATCGGTGAATCTGCGTCAGCATTTCTTTTCTCATTGATTTTGGGACTATTAAACGTTCTCCAGCGAAAACTAGTCCATTATCAACTACTAGTTCACTTCTTTTGTCGTAGAACGGTGCCAAGTCCTGGCTGCACTGTCTCTTGGATGTAGGCCAGCCATTCTTTACCGCGACGATGATACTCTGCATGGTTTTATCTGACGGTGTCTCGCGCTTGAACTGGTCGAGTCTGTCTGGAGAAATAGACAGATTCTCTGCATGGTCGATCTCTTCCAGGGCTCGTACCTCAGTCGTGTCATGACGCCAAGATTCTGTTGTGTTCCGATATGCACGACTCAGAGTGTCCGATATCCACATGAGTTTCCCTTTCTTGTACTGCACGTTGAGATTGTAATTTTGGAGGGCCAGCAGCATTCTCTGCAACCGTTTAGACGAGATATGTATAGGTTTGATGAAAACTGCCTTAAGCGGTTCATGATCGAATTCTATGGTAACGGTTTCTCGGCCGAGGATATACTGATCGAATTTGCTTGTTGCCCAGACAATCGGTAGTAATTCTTTTTCAATCTGGGCGTAACGAGTTTCTGTATCTGTAAGTGCCCTCGAAGCAAAAACTAACGGGTTGTCCGTCTTGCGTTAAGACAGCACCTAGGCCAGTGTCACTAGCATCACATTCAATAGTAACTTCCTTGCTGACATCGTAGTATCTCAGGACCGGCGCTTTGGTTAGAGACTTCTTGACAGTGTCATATGCTTGCTGGTGTTGTTCGAGCCAATACCACTCTACATCCTTATCTTCAAGTCTTCTCAGCGGTTCGGTCATGTCCGACAATAAAGGTAAAAATTTTGCCGAATAGTTTACCATCCCGAGAAATCTTTTGAGGCCTTTTGTGTCAGTTGGGGCAGGCATGTCTAAGATCGCTTCGACTTTTGCTGGATCAGCTTTGAGGCCATCAGCGGTAATGAGGTGTCGCATGAAACGGACTTCTGTCTGTGATCGCTTCAACTTCGATTTATTCAGCTTGAGGTTCCACTCACGACATTTCTTAAAAAATGCCCGTTCATTCGTTTCCAAGCTTCGATCGACCTCCTCTCCAGTTTCTCCAAATCCCGCGATAAGGAAGTCATCTGCTATAACTTCAACTCCATTAAGATCTTGAGCAAACTCATGCATTCGCCTTTGCCAAACTTCGGGTGCACTCGATATTCCGAATGGCATGCGCGTCCAACGGTACCGTCCGAAAGGGGAGTTGAACGTTGTCAAATAACTCGAAGCTGTGTCAAGTTTGATTTGGTGAAATCCGTCCTTAGCATCGCAGAGTGTGAATTTCTTGGCACCCGTTAATCTTGAAGTGACTTCATCTACAGTGGGTAGTTGGTAATGTTCGCGTCGTATAACACGATTTAGGTCTCGCGGGTCGATGCATATACGGATCTTGTTCGGCTTGACGACTGCCAACATACTGGATACCCAACGAGTGGGTTCTGTGACAGGGACAATGACTTTTCGGTCGACTAACTCATCTAGTTTGGCTTTTATTTGAGATCGTAATGCGACTGGAACACGTCGAGGGGCATGGATAACTGGCTTCGCCGTATCTTCTATAGTTATCGTGTGAGCTCCTGGTATCTCGCCCAGGCCATCAAAAACGTCGGCATACTCTTCTGCAACATACGAGTTGTCTTTTGGAGGCTTTATTGTCAGTGCCTAAATGTCACAGTTGGTCAAATTGACAACGCCAAGAGCGATGCTTGTATCTAATGATAAAACTGGTTGATAATCTCCGTGAATAATGTTAAAGTTCAATGTTCTTTGCAGATCTCCGAACCACACCGGCAATTTGGTTCTTCCGGTGATTTTACGGTGTTCTCCTGTGTACGAAACGATCTCCTTGCAGGTCTTTAGGCGTTGCAGTTGTTTGTCACCAGTAACTTGTATGTATGAACTTGCCGGGAGAATGTCACATTGCGACCCAGTGTCTATCTGGAATTGAACCGTGTTCTCCGCCTCTGGCTTCGACACTTGCAAATTGATCACAGCTTTGCGTGCTTTGGGCTCGTTGCTGTCAGAAATAGAACTGATGCAGTAAAGATCTTCTTCCGGGTTTTTTTCGACTTCCGTAGTTTGGTTGACTTGTGGTGCTTTGCTATTTTTTTCTCGGCATTTCCGCGCGAAATGATTCATCTTTTCACATTTAAAACACTTTTTCCCGAACGCTGGACAATTCCGTTCGTCGTGAACCATACCACAATTTCCACACTCTGTGAACAATCCTTCCTGCTGGCGGTTACGCATTGAATATCTCGGCGGTTTTGTCTTTCGATATTGTTTACTTTCTATACCGGCGTCTTCTTGTTGTGTTCTCCTTAGCGTGTTTACAAAATCTTCTCCGGTGCTCACGAGCTTGACTTGCTGCTGTGTTTGTTCCGCGGCTTTGATAGTGTCGACTGCCTTCTGTAACGTGAGATCGTTTAGCCTCAATAAACGTTCTCGGACGTGGTCATCACGAATGCCTAAAACAAGACGATCCCGTAAAATTTCGTCTGGTGTAATCGAGTCATGTGCACAATTTCTGGCGATTGTTCTCAGTTCTGTCAGGTAGGTTGCGATGTTTTCTCCAGGTGCCTGGTTTCTATTGTTGAAACGGTATCGTTCATAGATTATTTGAGTTCTCGGTGAACAATATTCATCAAATTTTTTAAGTACAATATCAACATCATTTTGATTTTCATCTTCGCCCCAAGTAAAAGTGTCATATGCCTTAACACCGTCCTCGCCGATTACGCTTAACAAGGTGATACTCTGACAATACCTTCTTGTTTTTGTACACCTGTTGCAATCTCGTACCGTGTCCATGATTTCTTCCAAGACTCCCATGTAGTTGCCAAGTTATCGTCGAATATAAGCGACTTTGGCGGTGGCAAATTCGATGGCGTTATAAATATTTGTGGCGTCTGGACCATTTGTGGCGCTTGGACTTCTGCTTGTGGCTCAACCATCGTTTTATTTCGACTCAGAACACTCCTGACACCATGTAACGTGTTAGTTTATTACGATATAGTTTCTGATTAACAAGAAATCGAGAGAAATAGTAATTTGTTTACAATATATAAAACGCCTAGCTTGTGTTACTTTTCGTACGCCTCGCTCGCCGCGCCTGTCAATCAAATTAATGTTTTCGTCATCGTGACGTCACCTAATAACATCGTGACACACAGACACAGCTAATTGAGCTGAATGCTTATAAATGGAACAACTACTGAACTTAGTGAACTACAGTACATACAAGTGTATACAACTGTAAAATATCAGTAAAAATTGTAAAAAGAGATTAAGTCATTAACTATATTCTGAATTCACATGACAATTGCTAATGTAACCCCCTGCACTCTTAATTCCTGACTATCAGACAAATAGCAAAAAATAGCATAATGTGTTATTGTTAAGTTTTTAATAGTCAAAAGATTCACACCGTACCTTAAGATACAAAACTTTTGCCGTTTGTCAACCAAATTCTTTGTCAAGCAAAGTTTCTTCCTTTCCACAAAAGATCCACGATATTTTACACACATTTACAGGTATATTAAAGCTAAACTAGCCAAGCAGGCTAAGCCCATAAACCAAAATATGGCAAAATATTTACAATTCCCGCTCATATGAAAACAATTTTCTTGAAAAAAAAGAAAACGAAACTGCAAATCTCTCCCAGATTTACCTCTTCCCATAGGCAAACTTGAAAATAAAAATAATTCAACAAAAATCAGCGAGATTTCCAACAATATCCTTGATTTCGAAACAATTTTTTGCGATCTTTTTAGTAAAAAATGCCCGCCATTTTGTAAGTTTTCGGGGGGGGGTGAATGCCTCTCCTTAGCGCACTGGCTAAGCTTTTGGTTACACTCAAACATTAGCGTTTCGTAATACAGTTACGCCTCTGTCCAGTATCTACTCTGTGGTTGTGATGAATGTCCACTTCACTTCAGTTATTCAAAAATTTTCTCAATTTACAACGAATACAAGTTGTTTCGCACCCCAAATAAATTATTCTACGAAATACTTTATATTACTTACTGCGGCTAAAGCCAGTTTGAGGAAACTTCACTGGAAGGTTTAGGCAACCTTGGTTGTATCACA